TCCACAAGCACACACACACGTACACACACACACATGCACACGCACACGCGCACACACATACACACACACATGCAAACATGCACACACGCACAAACACACACACACACACTTGGCAACATTGGCAGCAGTAGCAAAGTGAATTCTAACTTTTCTACATTACATTTTAAACACTTCCCAAATATTCAAATCCAACTCCATCCTTTGAATACAATTTTACGTCATTGACAAAAATACACAAATGGAAGAAAGTTCTTTAATTAAAACATTTCTCATTTTAATCTATGCGGCTAAACTTTCCCCGTGACATTCGTGACAGATGCACGGACGCAGCTGCAGAAGAAAAACATCCTTTGATTAAACTTTCACTAATTAAAGCCCGTGTCGCCTTATTAGCCTGACTAATTGATTTCATTTATCTCACCGCTGCTCTTGGCAATGACCTCGCTTTGGTTAATGAATTAATTGATTCAAGGTGTGAGGATTAAGGACGAGGAACGAAAACTGAGCTGCTACGTTTTAGGGTTAGTTCCTGAATACGTTGGATTTGGAATCTGAAAGAAGTAAGTCAGTAATGTTTAATTATATAGCGCATTTTTACAGACCAAGGTACAGACCCAAAGTGCTTTACAATGTTCAGAGTTCAGATATTGCTCCAATCTTTCCACACACGGTGAAGACGGAAGCGAACACACTGGACCATCAAAGCCTCCGACCAAACACCCTCCATTCACTCTCTCATCTACATTCATTGCTTTTGTGCATGTTTTTAGTGGTAGGGGAAACCGGAGCACCTGGAGGAAACCTACACAGACACGGGGAGAATATGAAAACTCCGCTCAGAAAGGCCCTGTTCCGACTGGGATTCGAACCCAGGGCCTTCTTGCTGAGAGGCGAGAATGGTTTCCGCTCAGCCCCTGTGCCGCACCAGTAGTAGCACACTGCAAAAAAATAATAAAATGAGGTAAGAAATGCTTAAATTGATTGGTTTTTGTCTAAATCTGACACATTGTGACTGTGTTAAAACGTCCGTCCGGAGGAGCGGATCCCTTTCTCAAATGGGTCTCCCTCCCTGTGGGTTTCCCTAGTTCTCCCCAAGGTTTCTCACTTTTTCCCACTGGGTTTTTTAAGAGTTTTTCCTTGTCGATGCAGGAGGGTCTTGTTGGACAGTTAGTGTCCAACAGAAAGGATTGGTGATGATCAGGACACTTTAGCATTCTACAACATGTATGGACATTTTCTTCTGTGTGTGCTTTATATTCTCCATGTGTTTTAACTGTTGATTCTCTGACCTGTGTTGGTGATTTCAATGGTTTTGTTAAGTCTCTGAGATGACTTCTGTTGTGACCTAGGGCTATACAAGAATAAATTGTATTGTATTGTATTGTAAAACCAGATTCTCAGACGGGACAAAGACATTTAGTCTATTTTCATGACATGTTAGTCCCATATGAACCAGCCCGGACTCTGAGGAGCACAGGGACTGGACTCCTGTTAGTGCCCAGAGTCAGAACTAAACATGGGGAGGCTGCTTTTCAGATTCATGCTGCTAAAATCTGGAACAATCTTCCTGAAGATGTGAGACAGGCCTCCTCTCTGACAATGTTTAAAACCAGGTTAAAGACAGTTCTGTTTAACTGTGCTACAACTGAGGGATTTTATATTTTTATCTTTCTTTTTAATGTTCTGTGATTATTTATGATTTTAATGCTTTCTTGTTTTGTTCAGCACTTTGAGTTGCCTTGTGTATGAATTGTGCTATAAACTTGCCTTGCCTTTCAAGAACTGTTGCTTTATTTCCTCATTCCAAGGGAGACTTTTCTGCATCTTTCTAAACCAAGACCATTTTGCTTTGTCCCGTTGGAGAATCTTGTTTTAAGACCGTTAAGATTAGCTTATTTTTCTGCACTTTTTGCAGTGTAGTTTGTTATTAACATTAAATCTCAGGTCACATGTTTTCAAAGACCTTTTACTATAAGAAATAAACTAAATGTATAACAAGAATTTTAGTGCTAAATAATGCCCGACCCAAAGAGGTTTAGGCTGAAGTCAAGACTCATCCTCCATGACACATTACACAGATTCTCACAAAGATTTAATACTTATAAGATTACGTTATTTCTCAATCCTCAATTCTTAATTCAAATACAAAACATATTACCTGAGAAATACAGAACTAGAAATATGTAATTTAAATGTATTTTAAAATATGTTGTCAAAGTGAGCCTCGGCCAATAACACACATGATGGGAGGTGGAAGTACAGAAAGAGAGAGATTGACGAGAAAAGAGAAAGACGAGAAAAGAAATAGTACACTTCAATGATATTATACTGTTATTATTATTATTATTATTATTATTATTATTATTATTATTATTATTATTGTTATTATTATTATTATTATTATTATTATATTATTATTATTATTATTATATTATTGTTATTATTATTATTATTATTATTATTATTATCTGCTTATCTCTTCTACTCTTGCTGGTACGTTTAGCTTTACGACTATGATCAAAAACCGGCAATACTTGTAACAGAATTTCTTCATGAGCTTCGCCAAATGTTGAGTAATGGCGCCCTCTGCTGGATTTAAAGAGAACTCATTTTTAAATACACATGATTTTATTTAGATTCCCACTGCCTCCAGTTATCAGTGCGTTCTTTCTGTCGGGAAATACCAAAACTATTGTATCCAATCCAAAGGCTATTGATCGTTTTAAGTATTTACAGCTATAGTGTAAACATAGCAACTACTTATTGGCTATTGTGTGTGCTCTGTGCGCTGCAACATTGAAATTTTCCCACTGGGACGAATACAGGATCTCTTATCTGATCTTATGGAATGATGTTGATATAAAGTGTATATGGCGGATTACATTTACATTAAGGAAGACGTTTTCAATACTTTCACATTGACTTATATTACTACCTAGGGTTATAGGGTTAAAATAGGGTTAGGGTTAGGGTTAGGAAAGGGACGTTTCATGGACTTTCACTGGTAATATCTATGTGCAATATTAAATAAACTTTACTCCATCTTGTTCGTAATATTATAAGGCAACAATATACTAGAGTCCAATATTATGTCTGATTGGCCAATTTTATAAGACTAACAAAAATGGAAATATCACTGAAATGTAGGTCAACAAACTGAACATGGTATCGACTTTACACCCACATCAACTCTCACTCAGGTATTTCAATGTTGTACTCATGCAAAAAAAAAAATTCGTTGCACAGTATATATTAACCATTTCTTTTTTTCCAATCGTGAGGGGAGTTTGTAAAGAAAATTACAAACAGTGCATGTTATGGTGAAACATAACTGAATTTACACGTTTTTTTGGACCTTTATCCACTACGTTTCTGAGCTTTCCCCCCGCAGCTAAAAGGCTTTGTTTTCTACAGGAAATGTAACAATATTTGATCTAGAGGAGAGTGAATTGGAGACATCTAGTGTTGTACAAATGTAAGAGACTCTTTATCCGCGCCTTTCTTAACAAAACCTCCATCGTGAAAAATCTAAATAATAAAAACATATTCTTCATGGCATCAGTGACGGATAGGTTTCAGTTTAATTTATGATTATTATTATTATTATTACTATTACTATTGTTATTATTGTGAAATACACGTTACATGCCGTGAAATTCTTACGTCCCTCTTTGATTCAGTTCAGTATTCAGAACTCAAAACATAAACAGATACAGGCAGTTAGGCCTGGTTTAGTCTGATGGCTTCAGATGTAACATTTTCTCCCATATTTCCAATCTCCTTAGATATGTTTATGCCTAATTAAGTCACTGTATCAGACGTTTCCATGGATACGCGTCTCCTTTAAGACAATTTACGACTCTTTTCGTTTACGACATGACGTAAACCCGGTACCATGCCGACCGGCGGTGGCGAAAATGCCAGAGAAAAATATAATAACATAATAAGAATGTTTTTTTTGCGACGTATTTCAGCGGATTTCTGGGAGACTTTTGTAACACGGAGTTATTAGATGGTAAGGAATATAAAGTTTGTTTTTTTGCGTGCTATTTTTGATCAAAGTCGTTTTCGTGAAGCAGTGGAGCTAGCATGCTGCAGCAACTCCACCTTAAAATAAGATAAGATCATAGATTTGTTTACTCGTTCCACAGTGGGGGAATTTTCAATGTTGCAGTGCACATACAGGACAGTAGCTAGAGACACAGGGAGCACACAAAATCTACAATATAAGCAGCTGCTATGTTTCTTAGCTAGCTGTAAATGCTTCAATATCAATATATCGGTATCTATCTCGATATAGTGTAAAGTTAGGTGTATATAAGATCCAGATTTTTTTTATTCATCCCTCCAGGGGCAATTCATTTTATCAGCACAGGGCATAAAAACACAGGACATGTCAGACAGTAACATGAGCATTAAGGTTATGAAGTGAAGCTCACACAAACATATGAACATAATACAACAATACTATTAAAATTGCAGTATTGCACATAGCACATGATTGCAGTATTTACTTGTTTACAGATGAATGACATGTACAGGCTCAGCAGCTCTCATTGTACAGTCTGACAGCAGCAGGAAGGACAGACCTGCGTAGCTTCTTCACACAGCAAGGGTGAATAAGTCTGTCACTGAAGCTACTCTCCGGGGCAAACAGTGTCCTGCAGGGGGCGACAGTCACCGTGAATTTCAATGTTGCAGCACACATTCAGGACCGTAGTAAGAGCACACGGGGAGCACATACAATAGAAGTAGCGGCTATGTTTCTTAGCTAACTGTAAATGCATTTCTATCTCTCCATCTCTATCTTATCTTATCTTATTTTTACTCCCTCGTTTGTTGCACGGTTCAAAATGCTGCAGCTGCTTTACTTATGGGTTCCGAAAACACATTACCCCAGTGTTAAAGTCACTGTTCTGGCTCTTGTATGATTCGGTATTGACTTTAAGGTTTCTGTATTGGTATGAGTAAGAAATGTTTAGAGATTTGCAGATCATGCCTCAGCAGAAGTCAGTGTGACTGAGGTACATGTGACAGAGGTACATGTGACTGAGGTACATGTGACAGAGGTACATGTGACTGAGGTACATGTGACAGAGGTACATGTGACTGAGATACATGTGACAGAGGTACATGTGACTGAGGTACATGTGACAGAGGTACATGTGACTGAGGTACATGTGACAGAGGTACATGTGACTGAGGTACATGTGACAGAGGTACATGTGACTGAGGTACATGTGACAGAGGTACATGTGACAGAGGTACATGTGACTGAGGTACATGTGACTGAGGTACATGTGACAGAGGTACATGTGACTGAGGTACATGTGACTGAGGTACATGTGACAGAGGTACATGTGACAGAGGTACATGTGACAGAGGTACATGTGACAGAGGTACATGTGACAGAGGTACATGTGACAGAGGTACATGTGACAGAGGTACATGTGACAGAGGTACATGTGACAGAGGTACATGTGACAGAGGTACATGTGACAGAGGTACATGTGACTGAGGTACATGTGACTGAGGTACATGTGACAGAGGTACATGTGACAGCGGTACATGTGACAGAGGTACATGTGACAGAGGTACATGTGACAGAGGTACATGTGACAGAGGTACATGTGACAGAGGTACATGTGACAGAGGTACATGTGACAGAGGTACATGTGACAGAGGTACATGTGACAGAGGTACATGTGACAGAGGTACATGTGACAGAGGTACATGTGACAGAGGTACATGTGACAGAGGTACATGTGACAGAGGTACATGTGACAGAGGTACATGTGACGAGGTACATGTGACTGAGGTACATGTGACTGAGGTACATGTGACTGAGGTACATGTGACTGAGGTACATGTGACTGAGGTACATGTGACTGAGGTACATGTGACTGAGGTACATGTGACAGAGGTACATGTGACAGAGGTACATGTGACATGTACATGTGACAGAGGTACATGTGACAGAGGTACATGTGACAGAGGTACATGTGACAGAGGTACATGTGACTGAGGTACATGTGACAGAGGTACATGTGACTGAGGAGGTACATGTGACTGAGGTACATGTGACAGAGGTACATGTGACAGAGGTACATGTGACAGAGGTACATGTGACAGAGGTACATGTGACAGAGGTACATGTGACAGAGGTACATGTGACAGAGGTACATGTGACAGAGGTACATGTGACAGAGGTACATGTGACAGAGGTACATGTGACAGAGGTACATGTGACTGAGGTACATGTGACTGAGGTACATGTGACAGAGGTACATGTGACAGCGGTACATGTGACAGAGGTACATGTGACAGAGGTACATGTGACAGAGGTACATGTGACAGAGGTACATGTGACAGAGGTACATGTGACAGAGGTACATGTGACAGAGGTACATGTGACAGAGGTACATGTGACAGAGGTACATGTGACAGAGGTACATGTGACTGAGGTACATGTGACTGAGGTACATGTGACTGAGGTACATGTGACTGAGGTACATGTGACTGAGGTACATGTGACTGAGGTACATGTGACAGAGGTACATGTGACAGAGGTACATGTGACAGAGGTACATGTGACAGAGGTACATGTGACAGAGGTACATGTAGTTTTATGACAAAGGTACAAATCCGAATCCTCACCTTTGTCCTTAAACCTTCCTGCATCAGCTAATCCTATTGATCATAATCTGTTACTACGGCGACCACTGCCCCTGACTGTCGCCCCAGTGGCACAGGATGGGTCAAATGCAGAGCATGTATCACAGGGATCGTTGTCTCATCATGAACATTGATTTCCTCTTGCTCCCAGAGTTCCCGTGGCCAGTTCCTGAACCCACAGATCAGCTCCTGTAGCGAGGGTCGCCTCCACATGACCAGTCCTGAGCCGCAGCTGTGGAGGATCCGGCGAGCGCTGACCCTGCGCCGCTGCCTCTGATGCCTGTGATCCCTATCCCGCGGCGCGTGCGCAGCTTCCACGGCCCGCACACCACATGCATGCACTCGGCCTGTGGCTCCGCCCACTCGCCGCAGCTGGCCAGGACCAAGTACAACAACTTTGACCTGTACCTGCGGTCGCGCTGCATGTACAGCTTCCTGCGCTTCCTGCTGTACTTCGGCTGCAGCCTGTTGACCTCCCTCCTGTGGGTGGCGCTGTCTGCTCTGTTCCTGGTGCAGTATGTGAGCGTGCGCGTGCTGCTGCGGCTGCAGTACAAACTGTCGGTGATTCTGCTTCTGCTCGGACACCGCCGCCTGGACTTTGGGGTCCTCAACGACCTCATCATCTACAGCATGCAGGTCACCATGTTCCTGGTGGGAGGCCTCGGCTGGTGCTTCATGGTGTTTGTGGACATGTAGCACCTGCAGCGTTCATGGTGTTTGTGGACATGTAGCACCTGCAGCGTTCATGGTGTATGTGGACATGTAGCACCTGCAGCGTTCATGGTGTATGTGGACATGTAGCACCTGCAGCGTTCATGGTGTTTGTGGACATGTAGCACCTGCAGCGTTCATGGTGTTTGTGGACATGTAGCACCTGCAGCGTTCATGGTGTTTGTGGACATGTAGCACCCTGCAGCGTTCATGGTGTTTGTGGACATGTAGCACCTGCAGCGTTCATGGTGTTTGTGGACATGTAGCACCTGCAGCGTTCATGGTGTTTGTGGACATGTAGCACCTGCAGCGTTCATGGTGTTTGTGGACATGTAGCACCTGCTGCTTCATGGTGTTTGTGGACATGTAGCACCTGCTGCTTCATGGTGTTTGTGGACATGTAGCACCTGATGCTTCATGGTGTTTGTGGACATGTAGCACCTGCTGCTTCATGGTGTTTGTGGACATGTAGCACCTGATGCTTCATGGTGTTTGTGGACATGTAGCACCTGCAGCGTTCATGGTGTTTGTGGACATGTAGCACCTGATGCTTCATGGTGTTTGTGGACATGTAGCACCTGATGCTTCATGGTGTTTGTGGACATGTAGCACCTGATGCTTCATGGTGTTTGTGGACATGTAGCACCTGCAGCGTTCATGGTGTTTGTGGACATGTAGCACCTGATGCTTCATGGTGTTTGTGGACATGTAGCACCTGCTGCTTCATGGTGTTTGTGGACATGTAGCACCTGATGCTTCATGGTGTTTGTGGACATGTAGCACCTGATGCTTCATGGTGTTTGTGGACATGTAGCACCTGATGCTTCATGGTGTTTGTGGACATGTAGCACCTGATGCTTCATGGTGTTTGTGGACATGTAGCACCTGATGCTTCATGGTGTTTGTGGACATGTAGCACCTGATGCTTCATGGTGTTTGTGGACATGTAGCACCTGCAGCGTTCATGGTGTTTGTGGACATGTAGCACCTGATGCTTCATGGTGTTTGTGGACATGTAGCACCTGATGCTTCATGGTGTTTGTGGACATGTAGCACCTGATGCTTCATGGTGTTTGTGGACATGTAGCACCTGATGCTTCATGGTGTTTGTGGACATGTAGCACCTGATGCTTCATGGTGTTTGTGGACATGTAGCACCTGCTGCTTCATGGTGTTTGACATATAGCACTTGATGCTTCATGGTGTTTGACATATAGCACCTGGTGCCACATGGTTTTTGACATGTAGCAGTGTTTTCATCAGTTAAATACAAAGTGATAGGACCCAGAGTTCAGGAACTACCAGAGCAGTCATTTTGACGGCTCCTATTCAAATTTTAAACACATCCTCAAACGAATTACTAAAACATGAAAAAACAGTTTTTGAAGGTTACTAAATACTAACTGCTGCAAGTAAACTGTGTGTTGCTATGGCAACTATTACTTGATGGAGAAACCAGCAGCCTCAGGACCAGGACCAGTCCAGCACCAGGACCAGCAGCTTGAAAATGTTGATCGCCAAACGAACGTGTACTTTGAAAAGACTGGAGTTAAAGTCTGAAGTGACCTGTAAAGACAGAAATAAACTACTTTTATAAAAAGACACAATGTTGAAAAATGAACATAAACTTCCAAAAGCGAAAAACCGTCAAATTGACTGCTCCTGGAGCTCCTGAGTTAAAGTGGTTTATGCCTTGTTGTTCTTTGAGCCAAACGTATCTGTGTTTAGTTCTGTTTGGTTTATTTTGCTGACTCTGTTCGATGAAAGTTACAGATAGATATATATATATATATATAATCTGTAACTTTCTAAATTAATGAACAGCTTCAAACGCTTCATTTTTGTTTTATTTAAACGTTTTAACTTCAGTCTGTGTCGATCCATCGTTATTGTGTTTGTCTTCCACTCTTCTAATAAGAAAGTCATGGAAAAAAACATTTTAACCTGTTTTTTGTCTTTTTTTTCTCAATATCTCCAAAAACCAGTGTTGATGTGAGCGTGTTATTAGGCGAGTTTATTTGTATAGCACAGTTCATACACATTAAAATCATAAAGAATCCAAAGTTCATTAAACAGAATAAAGATAAATCCTTCAGTTGCAGCGAAACTGAACCGTTTTTAACCTGAATTTGAACAATGTCAGAGAAAAAGTCTGTCTCACGTTTTCAGGAAGACAGCGCTGCCTCCTCATGTTCAGCAGGAGGCCAGTCCCTGTGGTTATCATACCGTCATCATCTTATATCTATATATTACTAGAATAGTATTAGTAAGGCAAGGCAAGATTAGTTATATAGCACAAAATTCATACACAAGGCAACTTAAAGTGCTGAACAAAATAGCATTAAAATCATAATCACAGTACATTAAAAAGAAAAAATATATAAAATCCCTCAGTTGTATGCACAGTAGTAGTAGTATAAAATCTCTAGCTTTAGCATAATAAAGAAGCTAGTATAAAATCTCTAGCTTTAGCATAATAAAGAAGCTAGTATAAAATCTCTAGCTTTAGCATAACAAAGAAGATAGTATAAAATCTCTAACTTTAGCATGATAAAGAAGCTAGTGTAAATCTGAAGTGTGTGTATAGTTTGAGGTGCGAATGTTTAGCTTCGCTCTTGTACGACCATAAATACTGTCAAATCAAACAGAACCAAGATGGCGGAGAACCAGGTCCTTATAAGGCCTGGGGCCACATGGGGATATGTGTATGTTGTAGAGCGCTCAGGGCAGGACTGGTTTTCATGTGAACCCAGGACTCAGACTTTCTGATTAAAAGTATTGAAGAAGTCTGGGATCGTGCCTTTAATTCAGACCAAAGACATGTTTTATTGTCGATGGTAAACAGCAAGAACTGAGTGGTTACAGATGCTACAGAAGAGGCAGAGCTACTCCTTTTTGTAGTCATAATAATTATCACAATTACCATAGCATACCATACCATAGCATACCATAGTAAGTACTCTTTATTTATATACCGCCTTTCACAGACCAGAGTCACAAATTTGGTTTTTTTTGGGCATTTGTCTCTCACTCCACACAGAGATGGGAGCAGGGTCGCCGAAGAGGAGGCACGTGCCAGACCTATTGTACATATTTTCAGTGGTAGGGGAAACCGGAGTACCCGGAGGAAACCTACGCAGACACGGGGAGAACATGCAAACTCCACTCAGAAAGGCCCTGGTCCAACCGGGATTCGAACTTAGGACCTTCTTGCTGAGAGGCGAGAGTGCTATCCACTCAGCCACCGTGCCGCTCGGAACACCATATCATATCATATCATATCATACCATACCATATACCATACCATACCATACTATACCATACCATACCATACCAGCCATACCATACCATATCATACCATACCATACCATATCATACCATAAAACACCATATCATACCATACCATACCATATACCATACCATACCATACCATATACCATACCATACCATATCATACCATATACCATATCATACCATAAAACACCATATCATACCATACCATACCATATCATACCATACCATACCATATCATACCATAAAACACCATATCATACCATAAAACACCATATCATACCATACCATACCATACCATACCATATCATACCATACCATACCATACCATACCATAGCATAGCATACCATACCATACCATAGCATAGCATACCATACCATACCATAGCATACCATACCATACCATACCATACCATAGCATAGCATACCATACCATACCATACCATACCATACCATAGCATACCATAAAACACCATATCATACCATACCATACCATAGCATACCATACCATACCATACCATACCATACCATACCATACCATACCATATCATACCATACCATACTATACCATACCATACCATACCAGCCATACCATACCATACTATACCATATACCATATAATACCATACCATACCATACCATACTATACCATACCATACCATACCAGCCATACCATACCATACCATACCATACTATACCATATCATACCATATCATACCATACCATACCATATACCATAGAATACCATTCCATACCATATCATACCATATCATACAATAAAACACCATATCATACCATACCATTCCATACCATATCATACCATACCATACCATACAATACAATACAACACAGGGAGTGGGAAGACCGGAATTGAACCCAGAAGGTGAGGAAAGTAATCAATAATATCTCAAAAGTAGAGATCTGGACCGAAAACTGTGCAATGAACTGGTAGCAACAACAGACTGGCATGGTCTTCATGGTCTTCATGGTCTTCATGGTCCTCAGGTTTCTTGTACTGCTTGGTGATGAGTGGCAAGTGGAAGTGGAACCATGTGTGCCGCCACACTGGCCACACAGAAGGGAAGAAAGAGAGACAACAGGGAGCAGATCCTGGCACCGAGGACCATAAAGATGTGTGAATCGGGCCGAATGTGGCACTCGGGCCACACTTTGCCCATGTCTGTTAAGAAAGGCTTGAGCATGACCAGACACAGAGATGGTTTGATTCTCTCTTCCACATGAAATCAGCCGCTAACTCGATGATTCCAATCTATATTATAGACATAAACATGGGCTTTTAACTCCGTCGTTTCGCTTTGTCCTTGTTATTAAAGGCCAGAGACGTCGCTGAGGTCAGTGTCGCTTCAGGCAGCGGCGGATAATCACAGACAAAGCACTTCTGTTTCAATAATCCACATCTTATTCCTGGGTTTGAGCATCTGACAGTTCACGAACCAGAGACTGAAGAAACCAGCGATTGTCTGAAACTGTGCCGTCTCAATTCAATTCCATTTCTCTTTTTGTACAGTCCTAAATCACAACAGTAGTTTCTTCTGAGGACTTTACAAAAACGGTGATTTGCCAAACTTCTCAAAAACAGAAAATGCTGTGGTAGAAAACACAAAGAGCCATCGGTCCAAACGGAGAAGAGACTGATGTCAGTAAATGTGGTGTACGTGGAGCGTCCTGGATCA